TTTGTACTGTAGTAATGAGGAGTTAATTTACAGCTTCTTCATTCCTTATTTGGAGAAATCCATATGAAGAGGGGAAACTATTTTTGCTTTAGGAACATATGGAAAGAAACAGGGGAATTCACATCTTACATTATCCATAATCTTCAAAATCAGAACAAAGACAATGATATTAAAGATTAACCAAATGAACACCTTTGTATTTTTTTAAGGTATGAATAAATATCATCACATTTCTCCCACTGTTCTAGTTCTCCTTATTATTATGATTGCATCCACAACATTCTTATTCTTTTCTGTTGTCTATGAAAGTTGATTCCTTAGTTTGATAGAGCATAAGGTCTTGGGTTGTAATTCACTTTATATTGTCAGTATCAGTTTGACTACACCCTCTTCTATTCTGCAATGAATTTGTTTTTATCTTCAGTCTTGCATTTGTTGGATCAAGTTGCTAGCTACCATAAGGTGTCAAAATCTACTAAAATTATGTTACTGATAAATCTGTCTCATGTTTACTGGCCAGAAAAAGCTATTGAGAAGAATCAATATTATGTTAAATATTTTGCTTTGATACTGGGCTGCAGAAAAAGACAGAGTAGAGCAGAGTAGTGCAACTTTTTTTCCCCCTCTTTTGGTAAAGCCCTATCTTAAAAGGTTTAGATTGCAAATTTTAAAAAATTAATAATTTGTACATATTGTACAAGCTCATTATTTAATAGTGCTTATCTTTCTTATTCTCAAGAGTTTGAGCCTGATGTTCTCATTTTAGAGCTCCTAGAATACTTCCCCGTTGTGGTAAAAGTAAACCTTTTTGTACATGCCACAATGACATAGGTACATTGCAACCCCCAAAATATCCAATTCATCCAAAATAAAATGGAAGAGTTTAAGTTCACGTTACTTTTAAGCTATTAATATTGCTTGTCTGTTGATCAGATAAGATTACTGGAAGGACATTGACTGGTGTAACTGAGCAAAGCTGAAATTGTTTTGTAAAAGTAAAAGGTATAGGTGATTTCCTGTGATGCATTCATAAGAGAAAAATGATACAATATCTGGGGAAATATTCACCTATCTAACACAAGTATCACTGCAGATTTTTTGTCACAAATATCAGTTGACCAATAACATATGCGTATGTGCATTATGAAAATAAATTTGTATGCTTTTTTTTTTTGTTGTGACACTACAGCAAAACATCATTTTCAGTCTTAGAGACTGAAAGACACAATAAAGCATGCTGCTAATATCAGTTTGCAAATACAGCTATACAATAAATATTTGAAGTACATTTCTGAAATTCATAATAACAAAGTAAAATGTCATGGTCAAAATGTTGCACTTGTATTTCTGATTTGTTCTTATTTGAGCACATAGGGAGGAAATGAGTGTATTAAAACCCCAGCAAGAGCAATCAGGGCATTTAGCATCTTGCAAGTTACTGGTGCTCAGCAGTTTTAGGGGAAACAAAAAAAGCGCTTTGCAAGTGCATCCACAGGGTACTACGCTGCAGTGTGGTGCTGTGATACCTAAAGTAGCTTTTGTGTACCAGAAACGCGTTCATTATGCTTGGGCTAATTATAGCCTGAGAAGTCTTCTTGAGGGAAGAACGTAGAGAGTGATGCAGATGAAAAAAGAGATAAGATGAGATGATGGAATAAAACAAAATGAAAAAATATTTTGAAGATAAGCAGAGAAAGTATATATTTGAAGCTTTTCTTAAAAATATTTTCATTAAAACAAATTTTATCTCACAAGGTGGAACAATATTTGCTCATTTTGATTAATTTTCTGGGGTTTTTTTCTTAAAAATAAGTAAGTAGGCTAAGATTTTTTTGGACAATCAGCATTTCATCAGAGCTAAAAATAGAGATTATAATATTGTTTGCTCATGTAAGGAAATGGTGCAGCTGAGGTCAAAAATAGCTCCTTTACCATTGCTCCAAAAGGAACTTGACTAAGTTTAATTAATGTGTAATTCTGCAAAACATTTTTAAACATATATCCAACAGTCATAACTGTTATGTCTCTTAATGATTACAATAAATTCTTAGAGAAGAATGGGATATTTTTATTTGTTTTTCTTAATAAAATTCCTATTTTACCTCTTCTTTTGGCTTGTATTTGTTCCATTCCAATCATAATATTAGGTCAAAACATTACAAATTCTTTGCCATATAAACAAAATTATTCAGCATATTTTTAATTTTTAGTGTATCATACTATGGCAAAAAAATTGATTTCTTCACTGTTCAATGTCTACATATTTTTTTCCTTTTAATAAATCCCAAGCCATATTCCATTGATTGAACTTAGTATTACTGCCTATTATTAGGTTTTTTCATTGTAAAAATGACTAATCAACGAGCTGAAACAGCAACAGATTTTTTTTATTTTGAAAAGTATTAGATATTTATTTTTACACACACACATCTGTACAACACTGATAATTCAACACTAGCGGCTTCAATTTTTAACTTGTCAGTTAAGATTAAGAGTTGTAATGTATTATTGTGCAAATCTTTAACTTCACACTCAAACACGTGTAGAATGTGTAGAATAAATAGAATGTGTAGAATAAGTAACCTAAAATTTATACTCTATGTAACTTCATTCACATGGTTTCCTTCATTTCAGGAAACTTATCACTTAAATTATATGTAATTAATTTATCCTAAACAAAAATATGAAGATAGCAAATGCTAACCCAAATGGATTTGTTTCTTTGTTTTTGTTTTTTTTTTTTTAATCCTAATGTAGTGGCCTCTGAACATTGAAATAGTATGAAACTATGCTGTTTGTTTATGGCCCTGAAGAAATAAGAAGCATTTACAAATTAAACTAATTTAACAGCTCTATTGATGATAGAAATAGAACTGAGAAAAGCATACCACAATCTTTCATGGACAGTCTTTTTCTCCCCTTAGGTTTAATGAATAAGGACTAATCCAACAGAATTTTTTAAATCAGTAGACTAGATATGACATGGATTAAATGCAAGGAGCAGATCCACTGAATAAGTAGAGTCTATTTCTACAAGCATACTTCACACTATTAACACAGTTGGTCAACTTCAATTCTATTGTAACAAGAACTCCTTAACTGAATTTATTTCATTAGAAAAAACTAGGGGCTCTCTCATTGTCTTTACAAATATGCATAACATTTAAAAGTAAAAGTTAAGTTTATTTTAAAAAGATATTACTTTCTAGAGCATTTAAAGGAGTCTCTAAATGCAAAACCGTTAGTACATTTGAATAAAAAATGTTACCTTTAAAATTAATTCCCACTATAACCTAATAAAAATTATCTCTCCTCTGAATATGAAGTTGTGATTTCTGTATTTTTAGTTTTTGAATAGTATTTGTCATATCCTCCAGAATAGCATTCGTTCATGATATTTTATATCTATCTTTTCATTCACTCATTACATTTGTATTTATAATTGTTTCTATATTTTTCTATTTTCAGATAAATATATGAGATTTTAAAAAGTGTGGATTTATTTTGTTTTGAAAAACTAGTATTAATTTTTTTTTCAAATTGACTCTGCTAATGAACACTGTATGTCAAGGACATGAAAGCTCACCAAATGTTGCATTTGTGTAGTTCAATATTTTAAGTTCCATACTACATTTTAGCCCAGCTCTTGAACACACTATATTCAGTTAAAATAAATCTCTGTTCACAAAAAAATCTAGATTGGCTTCAAAGCAGTTGCAGACAGTACTGCAAAAACACAGTTGAGATATGCACAACTGGAAAAGATTTAAGAAGCTGACAAAAAGGTGATGAAATGTGTCCAAAGGTAGTTGAAACCACATCTTTATTTGCATCAGATATGTATGTACCTATCTGCACAAGAAGACTGCATGCCTAAAGTATGTGTCACAGATGGTGGTCAAACTAATTAATCAAAGGTCCTGACACAGAACTATTTTTTCTCCTTTTCCCCCACTCTGTTACTACTCTGCTACTGACCACATCACTCTTGTCCAAGTCTGTATTTCTGGAAGAAATTAAATTTTCTTTCCTACTGATGGAGTATGAATTGTAGAATAGGAGACATAGGCAATGGTGGGCTTTGCTGTCAGTGCAGTGACAGCATCTATTAAATTATCTCATTTCTAAACCTCTCAGTACCTCAGTACCTCTCTACCACTTTGAGTAGGAGAAAAAAACACAATGAATAATCACAAAATTCAGTTAAATGTTGTCTACTCTATACTTACTGTGCACTATGGGCTAGTCAGAAATACATTCCAAGGAACAGAGCTCTCTCCATCAGTCAGGTGCACTGACTGATACAGAATCTTCTTGCTAGCAACAATAATGGAAATATTTTTTGTTCATTGCTTGCAGACATCTAAAATGGGAGGTAAGCAATTTGGTAGATCCTCTTAAGAAATGCCCTATCACTTTTCTGGAACCAGTGTATTCAACCCAGCTTGCAACTGCTGAAAATTCTCACAGGTTGCTGACCTGAGAAAGGATTTTAATCAATGTACACACTGATGTCATCAAGAACCACTAGTCTCACTGACACAAAGCTATGGAGAAAGACAAAATCTTGGCCAAATATTATACAGTAGACTAGGGCACGTTGAATGCTTATGACATCATTACCATTTTTATTGGTGGATACATGCATTGACACATATGTTTATTTTTGTATAGTGTTTTCAGCACAGTCTCACAATGAAGGAGTCACTGTGTTCTTCATTACATACATATGATCAGCCATATAATTCAGTGACTTTTCTCACTAATAAGAAAGAATTATTTTCAAAAGTCTGCACACAGCTAGCCTACTTGCCCAGATAATGTTGGGGAAAAATGAAACTACTATATTTTCCTGTGATAAAGTAAGTGGTTTGAGCTAAAGCTATATTAAAAGGAGGGAAAATAAATACCTGAAGTTTGTTCCTACCTTGACAAATGTTTTAAAATTATTTAAAATGAGAAGAGTATGTATATAATTTTCATCTATTATTTTTTCACAGTTCCTCACCTTAGAAGAAGGGATGGTTGCTCCACAAAGCTTTGTAAGAGCTGAGGACAGCACTGGAGAGGAAAAGAAGGACTGAATGTTTGCAGAAGTGCTAAATAAAGCTGGGGGCCTTTATGATGGAGAGCAGGCAGCTCACAGAGGCTGGAGAGCTTCATTCTCCCTTGGGATGAGGACACACCGTGTGTAATCAGATCCAGATACACTCCTAATGAGGGGTTGTCAAAGGACAACTTTGATGTGTAACACCCATTGTCAATAGATATGTTGATAGTAAATGGAACTATAATGTTTATTACTATACATTGTCCATAAATACGTATTTCTCAAGAATCTCAATCCAATATGCATCCCAAATATTCAGGACTCTGACTGGACAGCAGGGTTATGTTTGGTCAAAAAAGCTGCCAAATGCTTCAAAAAACATTAGCATCAGTTCCTCTGAGGTATTACATTGATCCTGGTGCCAGGGTGGTCCCTACACACTGGCTTATTTCAGAGTCAAATGCAGAAGATCTAAAATACTTCAGATTCTGGGGACAGACAGAGGTATAGATTTCTTAAGTACAAATATCAAGCAGATATTATTCTGAAGAACATCTATAATAATATCTACAGGTGGTTCTGTAACATTCAAAAGGTCCCACTGTGCCTTGCTATTCAGCTCACACTCTCACATGACCATAAAGTCTCTCAAATTCCCAGTTTTTTTCACCACTCATCATTTTCTCTTCATTACTCAACAATTCCCTCTTCCATACTAATTCTCTCTCTCCCTTAGTCTATTAATCGCCATATTCCCAAATCTGTGCAGTACATATGTTGTCCCAGTCCTACCCTCTACCATAGTCATCCTTTTCCACACCTCCATAGTTAATCTTCATTCTCTAATTAATCTAGAAGACAGGTGGCTGTATTTGAGCATTTGAGTTAGCTAGCCCAGGTACATCCCTAAAAGATAGCCATGTCTCAATAACCACATGCATTTTGCTAACTGGTCTTACACACCTGTGAAAGTATATCACGTAATTATTTGCATTAACATGCCAGGATTCATTCCTACACAACAGCTGAAAAACTTCCCCATTGAGTGTGGAGAGGGGATTTTGGGGAAGGGTACAACAGCCACTTTGCTTTATCTTTTCTGGCATGTTCATTTATTTAGCCTCAATAAAGCCACTGTGAGGCTTGTAATCTTAGTTCTTAGTAATCTTAAATGTTTGTGAAGCAAAACAAGAAGTATCTGCTTTTTGCATGGATGTCAAGGGAACAGAAGACAAGAATTATATCTATCAGTACCTAGTAAGGCTGAAGTATGGACTGACTTATTGAACATTTATAAAAATCGTGTCAGAGCACAACTTCGTCCTGGAGAGATCCTGTCCAAATCACTCTCAACCTCTTCTCTGCCCTCTTTTCAGAGTCTGCTCTTAAGCATCTTTTTCTTACTTTCCAAATCCCTTCTTACCATGCTCACACCTGTGCTTTCCCCCCTCCTCCTCCCCCCACAATATTTTTAGATCTGGTTTGGTATGAAGTAAATCCTGTGGCTTCTATTCTCCAGCTGTTCAGCGTTTTTCAGGATACCTCCCTCTAGACTGGGTTGAACACAGGTAAGATACTTTTAGGAATTGAGAAAAGGAAAGGCAGTGAACAGGTTGAAACAGTAAACAAGAGAGAGAGTTTCAACAGCCAAGAATGTTAGCTTGTGAGACCGAGGACAGAATAGTTGAAGATGAGGCAGAATATCTTCAGTCTTTATCTCTCCAGCAACGTTTGCTTCCCGTAGCTGAGTCTGGATCACAGTAACAGAAACACCTCTCCAAACTATTTCATAGTAGCTCCAACTATTTCATAAACTATTTCATAGTTTCCCCAACATCCTATTGGGGAATATTTCCAGTTTCTTATTAGCATTCTCATAAAAACTGAGGCAGATCTTGCAGCAAATGTGTCTGTGTAAAAAAACACAGCAGCAGCGGCTTTTGGCCAGATTGAGAGAGAGATGGGTGTAAGGGTCCTCCTGCCTGTACCCAGCCACTCCAGCCTCAGAGTGCACAAAACTTGAACTGCAGAGGACAGAGGTAAGGGAAACACTGCTGCAAATGCAATACTCTCCAGTTATAAACATTTCTTCTTCTCATGCTGCTTCAGCTCTTAAATTTTCATCTCTCAGCAGATGCTGAAAAATACCCACAGATTAGAGACTTCCATACCTCAAATGAAAATAACATATAAAGTGGAACATTTTTACAAGTGAAATGAATAGCTAGAGTCTGTGCAAACACTGATCTCCAGATAGGATAACATCATAAACACTGGGAAATAAAATTAATGGTTGAATGATAGCAGTACTATGCTCCCAAGAATAATAATCAGATATAGATGTTTAACTGTCTGTGACTGAGGACTCCTTTATCTTCTTATAACTCACCTCCCTACAGAGTACATGCCTCCTTCTAAATATAAATATTTGAAATTATAATTCATATGTATTTGAGTATGATAAATTGAGCAGGAATTTAAAGAGTTTGATTTAAAAGAAATTGTATGACTGAAAAGGATAATCTAATACTAAAAACAAAGAAGCCTCTTTGCACCATTATATTTGCTGTTTGGGTACTTTTATGTAGTGTTTTTCAACTGTTTTTGAATAGCAAGAATTAGCTCTGAAAAAATAAGTAATTCCAAAATGTTTTACTTTAAATGAGTTATTTTTTTAACTGGTTTGTGCATTAGCAGTGTTAAGTAAATATAAAAAGATATTGGGGAATTGTTTGTCCTGTTTTCTCCTTTTTGACTGAAATCGACTAAATCTGTCCCTGCTGTTACAGATAAACAGTTTGCAGTACTTTGAAATGATAACAGACTTTTTTTTAAAGGGAATTTTTTTAAGTTGGGTGTAAAATACCAAACCAGAGCACCTTCTTTTGGTCTGTCACTACTCGTTTATTTATTTTTTTTTAGAAATAAAAGACCCTAAAAGTACCAAAAAAGAATGTTACAAAATCTTTTTATTAAGTCTCACGCTAATAAGGAGCATAAGAACAAGGAGCTGACATCACTACTGTACATCTCACTAGATAATGCTGTTTGTTTAACAGACTTATGAAAGTTTTATTTTTCTTTCAGGCAATTTTTCTTTTCTTTTTAGAGGTAGCTTGATAAAGTAGCAAATTCCTAAGATTTCTCAGTAGTGTGTACTGCATAACATTCACATTACCTGTGACCTTGAGTGATGTATAAAGGATATTGATTTATTCCTTATTCTTTTTATCAATTAAAACAACTAACTGGCCTTTGTTAAGGAGCCGTCTTAGCTTTGAATATGCTAATTTCTGAACCTTATTATATCAGATTCCTTATCTGTTGCACAGGAATAGTAATTGCCATGCCACACTATTGTGAAGGTAAATATTATGATGTGATATTCTCACCTACTGTAGCAAAGAAAAATAAGATGGGCAGTGCTTTATAAAAGACAAACAGATAAGTTCATACATGTTAAAGAACAGTAACCTTAGGGCCTTAATTTCTGAGTGTTTTTTTCAAGATACAGAACAGTATTTACTGTTTTAAATTTTTTTTTCTTTAGGGGCATTTAGAATTGAGTCACTTTTTTCCTGTTTAGGAAAGGTGTTCTCAATTTAGTAGATTCTATTCCAAAGTTACAGTTATCTGTAGGAGAAACGACTAGAGCTATGAAACATAAAACATGAAATAGCAACATGAGTGGATAACCAGTCCACAAAATGGCTTTATGAAGATCATTCCACTGGTTTCAGTAGGAGACAGATGGGACTCTATAAGCCCAACTATTTGAATCGGTAGAATAATACATTTTTATTCATCAATAGCCTGTTTCTTCTAGGTGTTGAGAGAACACAAGACACTTAGGTCCTGAGTACAGTATCTTCTCTGAATAAAGTCACTGGAAAAAAAAAAATCAGTCTAATCTTCTCCCTCAGTTATGTTTTTGTTGGCTCTTTTCAGCCAGGGGAAAGCTTGGTATGCTGTGATGTTACTTCCCCTATAACTTCATTTACTATAGATTCCGAGAATACCTGCCCAGCTTTGCAAAAGCCATTTGGAATCTTTGGATGTAAGACAAGGGTTGTAACGTTACCTGTTCAATCAGTGGGACTATTGCCACTAACTTCGGCAAGGCATGGAGTTCATCCAAAGCAGCAAGACAAAAATATCCTTCTGTTTGCATTTTACTATCTTTTGTTGGCCTTTTTGCCAAAAGTTAGAGAATTACAGAGAAAAAAAAAATTGAAAAAAAGAATCAAAAATTATATAAATGCTTTTGGGGATGTGGGGAGGGCTAAAGATAAAAGAAAGGAGCCTCATGTGCAAGGAAGAATGCGGCGTTTACCTGCCGTGGCCCCGGGCGGGTGGCAGAGCCCGGCTGGCACTGCCGTGTGAGGCCGCGTGGCCGCCCCGTGAGCGGCACCTCAGGGGAGAATCGTCTGCCCCGATGTGCTGAGTGCTGCTCGTGGGTGCGCAGCTTGGGTACCTCGGCACGCTGAGAGGAGATGAAGGGATGAGAGAAGGACTCGTGTATGCCAGCCCAAAGAGTTCTTTATGTGCCCAGGTATGGCAAGAAAGGTGCCCTCTGGGTGAGTGCAGGAACAAATGCCAAAGAAATCAAAGATTACAGCAACTTAAATAGGGGGTGGGTGGACAGGGGTGCAGACCTGTCTCGCCCAGTGGCGATAAACCAGAGAGGGATAAAACAACCCATGATAATGTAACAGGGGTAGGTACAAGGTCAGGGGACAAATAGAAAAGCTAAACTGGAGTGATTGATACAGAACTTTCTGAAGGAAACTGTGGCTGGTCACAGGATTGACAACGGAAAGGTTATCAACAAACTCTGCTGGAACCAAATAAGGAGAAAACAGGGAAAGGTGAGAAGATTGACAGATAACTGGGGAGCCAAGTGGTGGGAACTTTAGGGGTAAACAACTTGGATCAAACCAACTGTAAGGGGACAAATGGGGGAGCATAAAGAATAACTAACATTAATAAAACCAACCAAATCAAACCACAGTGCAACAGAAGAACAACTTCAGTTTTACTAAAATAAAATGTATTACTAAAATAAAACCAATTGCATTTTGCATTACTGTGGTCTTAAAAATCAGCTATGGTTCTGAGAAAGTAATTTATCAAACACAGAATTGTAAATTTTTTTTTTGTGTACATCAGTAAACATATATTTAAGAGAAACAAAATCAAACCCAAACTACAAGGTGTGGATGAGAAAAAACTTACAATCTACTTCTGTGACATTTGACATCACAGATGAATACTAAAACAGAACCCCAAACACAACTCTTGTTTATTACATTCTGAAGGTTCAAACACAGCAAAGTCGCCAAAAATATACTGTTGGAGCTATACTTAAATAAAAACTAGTAATTATTTACCAGCATAGGAATTACTGGTGTACCATTCTGAAAAGCTACAAAATTAGACCAACTGAGAAGAGGCAAACTTCTGCTATGTGCTGAAGGCAACTAGAACAATTTATAAAAATAAATATGCTACTGTCTGCAGAAGTCACTGGACAACAACATAGTATGACAGCAAACAAACCCTCAAAGTGAATTAGAAATGGCAAATTCAGGTTACAGATTTTCTGGTGTTTTATTCGGAAGGCAAAGTGATTTTTCTGTTTATACTGACGTAAAGAACTGTAGATCTGTAAATGCTGATGTATAAAATACTACCGTTGTGCAAAACAATGTAATATACTATCAGTAATTAAAGGCACTTTCACCTTTTAAAATACAAGATTGATCTAGTCTGTAAAACAAGCATCTATGTGATGGAAACGTACGTTGATCTTCAACTATCATTTCCCATCACAGTCCAGAAAACCGAGACGAAGACTCAAAAAAAAGACCTAAAAAACCCCAGGTCCATAGAAAAACCTAGTCACACACTTCACTTAAGCACTTTGCCCTCTCATCTACGCAGCTTTGTGACAATGAACACCCATGCATCCCCATAGGTCCTGGTGCCGGCCTCGGGTCTCTGCGGGCCCCCGGGGCAGCCGCAGCCGATGGTGACTCCGAGCTGGACTCAGCTCCTGCGGCTCGCCTGCAAAGAGCCTGCCCAAGACGACGGGTGACACCAGCCAGAGCCCAGCGCAGCCTCCGGGATTCGCACCTGGGTCCGTCTGTCGCAGGTAGGATCCCGATCCGAGACCGTCGGCCGGGCACGCTGCTGATGCTGCTCGCCTTCCCACACCTTTCCCACTCGCGCCCTCCCGACTCTGGTTTCCTATCCTGCCTTTCCGCCAGATCCAGGCGCGGGAGTTTCCTCCGGACAAGTGCAGCCACACGCGGCACCACCCCCTTCATCCCAGAGCTCCGCGTGGGGCCGGGGACGCGGCTGGGGCGGAACGGGTGCGGCGCTCCCGCTCCCAACCGCGCGCAACTTCGCGGGGCGGCGGCGGCGGGCGGGCCCGGCCCGGCCCAGCCCTGCCCGCCCCCCACGGCCGGGCCTCCCCCGGCCCTCCCGTGACCGCGGGGCCACCATGTGCATCTCCCACCTCATGCCTTCCTCCCTCCCTCCTTCCCTCCCCTTTCCCACCGCCTGCGCAGGCAGGATGCGCGCGGCACCGCCATCCCCCGGCGGGAGCCCTGCGCGGTGCGGTGCGGTGGGGCGGGCACCCCGCTCCCCCGACGCGGCCCGGCCCCGGCGGAACCGCGGAGACAAAGTTTGCGGCGGCAGCGGCGGTGCCCGTGCAGCGCGGGGCAGGCCGGGCGGGCGGCGGGCTCGGTGCATGCCTGGTGCGTGGATGAATCGCAGCAGGCGGCGGCGGCGGGCGGGGGCGGGGGCCGCGGCCGGCGATTGGGCGGCGCGGCGCTCGGAAGCACTTTGTTTTCTATTCTAATGAGGGCGGAGCGGGGCTTGTGGATATTTACGTTGAGGCGGGAGCCGCCGCCCTTCATTCACCCACATGGTCCCCGAGCCCGACTGCTGCTGCCGCCGGGACCTGCCTTCGCGCCACTTCCCTCCCCCCCCGCCTCCCCCATCCCCCCCCCCCGCCCCTCATCCGCCCCGCCGGGGAGCGGCGCGGAGCGGCTCCCCTCGACCGGGCCGGCCACGCCGCGCCGGGGCCGCGAGAGAAGGAGGAGGAGGGAAGATGGTGGCGGCGGCCGCTGGCTGGTGAGTGTCGCTGCCGCGCGCGTGTCGCTGACAGGAAACCTGTTGTGAGGCGGCGGCGGCCGCCCGGCGCGGAGGGCGAGACCGGGAAGGCAGCGCGGCGGCAGCGGGGGACGGGCGGGCAGCTCGGAGGTGGCGGCGACGGTAGCTGGTGGGGCCGCTGCGAGTAGCCGGGGCGGTAGGAGGGGGTGTGGGTGGGCGGCGGGGGGAGCTAGGAGAAGGGCGCATGGCGCGGCGCCTCCCGAGCTCGCACACGGGGCGGGAGGGGCTGGAATGAGGGAGATTTGAAAAAGCGTGTGCGCCGCTCGCCGCTGCAGTGAGTCCCGCCGCCCCCTTCCCGCCCCCCCTCCTCCCGCCGCGCTCCGGGCCCGGGGCGCTTCGCCGGGCCGGGGTGGCGCGGGGAGCGGCCGAGCCCCTAGGACGGGCAGGGCAGGGCGGCGTGCGCGGCACAATGGCAGCGGCGGCCGGGGGTGGGCGCGGGCGGGGGTTCTGCCCCCGCGGCCCGCGGGGGGAAGGCCCGTCCGGGAAAGTTTGCGCCGTGCCCGGCGCGGCTGCGGGGGGGAGCTGCCGGCGCCAGAACAAAGCCGCACGTGGGGCAGAGGCCGCGGCGGCGGCGCGGGGGCTCCGCTCGCCGCCCACGCCCAGCTCGGGAACGGCAGCGGCGGTAAAAGAGGCGGCGGGCGGGTAGGGACGGGGGGGAGGGCGCGGGTCGGGGGGGCTCTCGGGGAGTTCCCAGCGGAGGCGCTTTTGTGCTCCGTCGCCCCCCGGGGGAGGGGGCGCGGGGCCCCAGGGAGGGGGCAGCGCCGCGGGCTCCGAGCGCGTCCCGGGCCCCTCCGCATGGGCTTTTGTTCGCAGGAGGGGCGGGGGCGGCGGGCCCGTCTCTTCCCCCTCCCCCCCAACACACACAGTTCTCCGCCGAGCTGCGGGACCTCCCGCTTCTCCCGGGTAGGCGAACGGGGGACAGCGGGCGCGCCCCGCGCCGCCGCTCGGGAGCCGCGAGCTTCATTACGAAATCGGCGCGGCGGCGGCAGCTGCGGGCCCTCGGCGGCGCCATGTTGCTGGGAAGGGGGAGGAGGCGGGGGACATGGCGGCGGCTGCGTGCTGAGGCCGATTGTTCCCTGTTAGGCCCGGAGCCGCGTGTGGGCAGCGGCGGCCCGGGGAGCAGCTTCCCCTCCCCCCATCGCGGCCCCTTCCAGCCCGGGGCGCAGGCGGGCCCGACCCTTTCGCGGCCGCCCGGGCTGCGGGGCTCGGCGGGGCCCGGGCGGGCGTGCGGGGGGGGCGTCACGCCGTAGCCGGGCTGTGACCTCCGCGCTGCCGGGGCGGCGCCCCCTGGCGGCCGGCTCTGTGTTCTCGGCGAGCACGTGCTGCGCCGTGCGGGGAGCGGGCCCGGCCCCGGCGCGGCTCCGGCCCCCGGCCCGGCCCGGCTCGGGCCCACGGCACGCACCGGCAGCGTGCGAGGGATCCTGTCTAGGCGCAGAGGGGATCCATTTACCGGGAAGGAAGTGGGAGCCCGCGTGCAGTGTGTCGCACGGGGCGGTTCATGGCCGCCCGAGGGGGTACGGAGCGTTTCGCGCCCTCTCGGGAGGGTTGGACTGGGCATGGGGAGCGCTGGGTTTGGGGAGTTCCTCGGTCACTTTGTTCATTCCTCAGCAATTAAATGCAAGTAACTCGGTGGTTTTTTTCGCAGTATCCACACGTGCAGCTGGGCATAATGAAGCTTTCTGTGGATGTTGCAGCAGTGTGTTTGCAGAGGAAGTTAGTTTCAACGGATGATGGTAAGTTTTTATTTTTTAATAATTTTTTTTAAGTACAGTGGCAGAAGCAGTTTTTCTGAGGCTCAGGCTTAGACTTCAGTTAGGACCATTAAATTCCAAATAGTTTCTTGGGATTGAATGCATGTGTAGCAGTCTACAGTTTCACTCATTTAAAGGAGAGTAGTGCAAGTTTCCCAAGCAATCATTGGTTTGAATAAAGTAGTTTGACAGTGAGGAAGTTAGAAAAATACTCAGATTTGGTATCTTGGATTTTTCTTCTCTTATTTTAACTTAGCTGCTTTCCTTTTAGTCAGTTTACAGAAGCTAGTTTTATTGTAGTTTTAAAGTATTATGTTAAATTGGCTATAAGTATCACGTGAGGGAGACACTATATTTACATGTTCCTTCAAGTTTATGTTCCTGTCAAAGAAGGAATTAAATATGTTTTCAAATTTTGTATCTACTACTGTCCTGCATTACTGAACCTCTGGTCTGTAATCAGGTGTAATTTGGTTGTGGTAGTAGTATATTTTACAGCAATCTCTAGAACCTTCTTTTTTTTTTTTTTTTTTTTTTCTTTTTGCTAGATAGACTAATCTAAATGGCATGGTAAAAATGGTAATTTGAGACAGGATGTCTTGTGGCAGGAACAGCAAATATTCTTAACTGGACAGCAAAATGAGTAACTGGAAAACTTAGAAAAATACCTGCCACATCATAAGGTGGTTTCTGGACTTCAGAAAACCGGTGGTAGGAGGTGTTGAATCTAATTTTTGAATTTCTGGAATATTGGTGTAAACTTCTTTAATGGAAGAGATTTGGTGAAAGCTCTTCACCAAATTACGATTTGCCTTTGAAAAGTCGGGTTTTTTTAACTCTTCAAGTTTTTGAGGCATTCTGTAAATATTGTGGGAGAAGCATTTATTTAGTTTTCACATTTGGGTCTTGTACTGTGAATCAGAATTTATTTTGATACTCCTTAGTATTGCGTAGGAGTGTCCTGGATTGGGCTGATGGGTTGCTTTGGTTTACTCTGAAGGAGATCTTTAGCCCAGAAATGTGAATATTTGTTCTAAAGCTTGTAATTCGAAACCTGATCAAACACTCACTTTGTTCTTTTCTTTCAGCAGGTACAAGGTAGACAACATATCTTGAATTACTAAAAAAACGCTGTTTGCGTCAGAGTAATGTCAAAGTGCTTACAGTGCAGGTAGTGATATATAGAACCTACTGCAGTGAAGGCACTTGTAGCATTATGTTGACAACTGCCTCAGGAGATCTTTCAGGACTTCAGAGAATGGAAAGGTACAGTGTGGTGGTGTCAAGTGCTTTTTGTACTAAGGTGCATCTAGTGCAGATAGTGAAGTAGATTAGCATCTACTGCCCTAAGTGCTCCTTCTGGCATAAGAAGTTATGTCTTCATCCAGTCACTCAGGTTAAGACTGTAGATGTTCCAGTATTCTTTGCAGACTTCTGTTAGTTTTGCATAGTTGCACTACAAGAAGAGAGTGGTTGTGCAAATCTATGCAAAGCTGATGGTGGCCTGTTATAATCTACATCAAGGACTTTGAATGCTTTCTGCTCATTATATTTTGTGGCCTTCCTTATTTTAACAGCAGTCCTAGTGAATGACAGCTCTTGTAGCACTAAAGTGCTTATAGTGCAGGTAGTGTTCACTAATCTACTGCATTATAAGCACTTAAAGTACTGCTAGCTGTAGAACTACACATTAAGTATGTCTTACAATTTATTTGTTGTTTATTGAACACTGTTCTCTGGTTAGTTTTGCAGGTTTGCATCCAGCTGTATGATACTCTGCTGTGCAAATCCATGCAAAACTGACTGTGGCAGTGACAAGTCAGTCAGTGAGTGTGGAAAAAATTATACCCCTTTCTACACAGGTTGGGATCAGTTGCAATGCTGTGTGTGTCTGTGGTATTGCACTTGTCCCGGCCTGTTGAGGTTGGTGGGGATAGAGGCTGAAACACCCTTGTAACTTTAAGGAATTTCTCCTTCACTGATCCATGAAATTTTAAATTTCTATGATTTTTTTATTTTTTAATGTAATGTAATTCTCTGTGTAACCAGACATGGATTTTTTTTTGTATTTGGCTTCTTGTTTTGTATGTACTGGATTTGTTGCTGACAGTATGTATTCACTGAAATTTTTGAGTGTTGTTTTTTTTTTTTTTTTTCAAAGCTTATATCATTACTTTTCTATTAAACTGAGGTGGATGCTTGTTTACAGTTTCTTCATGAATTTGTTGGGAAGAAATGGGTCTTGAGTATCAAAAAATCTGGATGAAGTTTAGACTTTTTCAGGATAAGCTTGCTTTGTGAATGCAAATTACATGAGGGATTCAGCAGCTTCCTTTTGTAATGCTGCTTACTATATTGAAACTGCATTTTCTAAATGATAATGGGGTGCATTTTTAGCCTTAGTTCTTTAATCCAGAACATGTCAAATTAAAGAGCAACAAATGAGGTTACAGGCAGAGCCTTAATCATTCATCACCTATGGAATCTTAATATATGTCCACTTATCGTGGAGTATCTGCATTGATGAATGTAACAGTGAATCACTTAGCTTGTGACACATAACAATGAAATAAAGCATCTCTTGAGCTTCCTGAAGAACTTACCTGAAGGAAAACTCACCCAAAAAATAAGTTGAAATTGGAGGTTTGGGAAAGATATAACTGGCTCTGTAAGGAAGAGTCACTAAAATCTGGAAGTGGAGCATTCAACATATCTTGAATTGTTAAATGAGCTGCATAGTAGTAAACTATACTTGTAGCTCAAATGTTGATGGGTTTAGTTTTCAAACAGGCTTACAGAGGACTAATGCTATAAATTCAAATTACTCACTTTGCTGCTTTAAGCTGCCAGACCCTATATAGTATTGTAAAGTAGAATAGAGTTCCTTTGTTGTGGGAAAATACAGGTCAATGCTGTCCTTGCCCTTACTTCAAATTCAAATGGAGAATGAAGCTAAATCAGTCATTCCTAATGAGTGTTGAACACTGGATATTGCATTGCTGTCTTTCCGTAACACTGTCCTCTAGCAAGAATATGCCTTTGACATCCTTAAACTTCTTTCTGAAGTAACCAAGCCATATTGGACTTGAGCATGTTCAGTTTCTACTGCTTTTGGTGCCTTATCTATTCAGGAAGTATTGCTCAGATAGGTTTCTTGCCCCCAAATGCTCTATTCCCAAGCTTAAAATTCTCTTAGTCTTACTGATTAGAGGAAGCTTGTGTCTGTGGAGTCAGCAGATGAGGTGTGTGTCTTGTCTTGATTTCTGGATGTTCAGTTTCTGCAGTAATTAATTGCTGGTTATTTAAAGTTTACTCCTTAGAGTGTAAAAGCAGTATTCTCAAAAGTTAAAATGCAGAAAATGTTTTAATATGTGATCATGTTTATTCTGCCATGTAAGTATCAAGTTTTGAAATCCTTTTATTAGTTGGACAGTGAAGCCTTTTAAAATCAAGTGCTTGCACAAGGAAGTTTTGTCAATGGAGCCTTGTTCATTAAGTGTGTTGCAGTGTACCTAGTTTTAATACCTTTATGTGAAAATGAACACTGTGACATTTTTTGTGTTCCCATCATAAATTATCTTAATACCTGGACTCCAGAAAAATACTTTGACATGGTGTGGGTATGAGAAATTATTTAGTAATTTACACAGCATCTTCAAGATGTAATAAGCTCTGCTTTAGTCAAGAAACGGTTATGGCACTGCCTTTCTAATACTAGTCTTACTTTCATGCCTTCAATACAGCATTGGCTTATTGGTTTTAGAACTTGAAAGTTTCAAGTTAGTCATATGATTGTTTTGGAAAACACCTTAATACTCTGATTATAGTTTTACACTTCAACTTAGTGTTCTCATTAATATGTAATAAGTAAATCCAGCCTGTCTTATGTTAGGTTCTGTGTAAACTGGGCATTTTCAGTCTTTTGAATGTTTCCTTATAAATAATTGTCAGCTCTGTACAGTGGTTGCAGTGTAGCTGAGACTGAAGTAGTTGTCTGAAGACTAGGGAGAGAAGTAATGCTGCTAACTTCAGTTGGTTTTACTGAATTAAGTTGGTCCTTGTCTTCAGTATTCATGTAGAAGATGTGACTAGAGGGGAGTGGTTAGATGGCTGAAACAAATGCCAGTTCTAAAATCCTACAGAAATATCAAGAGGCATTTTTTGCAGATGTATTCAGCTTTTCTGCTAAAAATATCACGTGTGAGAAGCGTATTTCTACTGGCTTTGATGCAGGTATTCATTTATACAGTGAGCTGCTGTGAATTAGTCTGAACCGTATGAACTTCCAGGAGATCAGTCTAAATTTAAGCCTGCATGGATTTTTAGGAATTGTCTAAAATAAAGTGATTTTTTTCAAGTGTATATGCAGGAAGAGCGTAGCTTATGCTGTCTTTCTAAACAAAAAGTAAAAATTTTCAAGCAATATGAACACTTCCTGTAGTCGTAGTATAGCAGTTAGCCTTATAAGAAAAACCTTGTCTGTTAACCCTAGCAAGTTCTGTATACTCAGTATCTGAAAGCATGCTGGGAAATAAAACATTTTTTACTAATTTGTCACTGGGTGATACTGAAAAAAACAGCTCAGTTATTGAGAATTGGCTTTCTTATGCTGACATTTGAATATCAAAATTGACTAGTGAGGTGACTGTCAGGCACAGACATTTTGAGCTTCTTATAAGACATTAAATGAACAGGACTAGAAGGGAGTCTCCCCTGCTGTGGTGGCACAGAGTTGGATTTCTCTGGCTTAGCTGGCTTTGTACCATAGAAAATTAATTCAATGCTCTATGTTCTACAGTACATCACTTGTATTTGTGTAGTTCATAAGTGGTCTTGTGTACAAAGTCTTTGTAAAGACTCAGATCTCTTGAAATTCAGAATTATTGGAATTTGTTTCCATACCACTTACACCTATCATCCCCCAATCATAGAATTCATTTCCTGAAGCCTTTTCTCTCTTTGGTTTTGGTTGCTTCGTGTGAATAGGCTAATGACATTCAGTATGGGAAACAGAAGTGTCACAGATCCAGAGTAGGAAGGAATGGACTGCATCATGTTCTGACTCTTTGAAGAAACCTTGCTATAAAATACACAGTTCTCTGAAGAGCCAGTTTCTGGCAATTCCTTTCTTGTTCCTATTTTTTTTGTGATATCTAAAGGAAAAGACACCGGAGGAAAATAAATGCGTGTTGGAATTCTCCATTTACTGCATCTGTTCTTCTGATGGGTATCTGCTGTGCGTGTGTGTCTTGTGTGTGTGTGTAATATCTGTAATGATACAGCAAGAGAAGTGTTGAAGCGGGTACTTGTTAATGTGTATGGGAATTATCTGGAATCAGATTATGCACGCATTCTCACCCCGCCATTGTTGCATGCTACACATTCTGAAACTGCATTTTGGAACAGGACAAACAAAAAATGTTGCATATATTCATTCCAATAGAGTAATACAAGACTGTTTAATACCACAGTGGGAGGAGAAATGACTAGTAGGTAGAGACTTAAGAGTTTAATTTTCAACTGTCATTCTGGATTTTTCACTGCTGTAAAGATAAAGCTACTAATGACATTGTAGTCTTTTATTCTTACCATTAAAGAAAACTTGATTTTGCCTAGTTCCCCTTCTAAATGAGTGAGCAATTCTCTGAATATTATGCTCAAGTGTTGGGGTTTTGGGTGTTTTTATTCTGATAGGGTGGGATGTTGGGGTTTTTTTTTTCATTACACTTGGCTTGCTAGGATGACTTTATGACGTGCAGTATTCTAGTCTTAAATGCCCAATGCCCAAACATAGAATGCTTGATCAAAAAGTTTTAGTACTAAAAAATAACTTCAGGCTCTGTGAGAGTGAGTCAGGTTCTTCACATTGGTAACAAACTACAGGCAAAATTGTAAATGCAAATAGTTGTGACTTACGTAGCCTTCAGTGGCATTTTATGACACAAGGAGATTAGCACTTGGAGGACCAATTCCTTTGAGCATTATGAATTTGTACCAGGTTCAGACATCCACTTTAGCTGAGGGAGGCAATCTCCTTAGTTAATTAAAGGTAAAAAATGGCTTTTACATGTGGCCAACATGCCTTGCATGGAACAATTTTGACACAAGTTTTGTAAACAGCAAACTCATACTTCAAAGTGAAGAAATACTTACTTGGATGATTGGTGTTTTGGTAGTATTTGGGATTTAGACTTATTTTGGTTACTGTTGGCTGTCCCAGCT